ACAAAACTCTAAAAGTTGTTGCCAGGTGTCAGCCAAGGGCCAGGCCAACCCTGAAAAACGGACTTGTAACAGGTGGAGCCTAGGCTGCCATATTAGCTTTGTGTTTCTTTATGCCTCTTCAAACAGGAATATTTAGTCAGATTCACAGTACCTGTTCCATTAGTAGTTCAGACTATTGCCCCATGTTCAAGTGGGCAAAACAAGTTCATATAAACCTTGCTTGAGGCTGGTTTTCAGAATCACACCTCCCTCAGACTTGACACTCCTTGCCATGATTCAGTTTGTAAGACTCAAAATCCCATTTGGATCGCTCCAGGCTTAATGACACAGTACCCTTGATAAGAAACAAAAAATGATATTGTCTTTTTTTTCTTCTATAAATACCCTAAACATAAAACATAAATTTATGTTTAAATCCTTTTTTTTTTTTAAATAAGCTCTATGCTCATAACGTGTTTGAACCAAATCCTGACATCAAGAGTCACATGTTTTACCATAAGTCAGCTAGGTGCCCGGTAGAAGAACACCACTAAGAATGTTAAACATTCTGCAATGTTCAGGTCCAGTTTACCAGCTGCAGATGTTGCATCATGTATTTAATGAAGATAGTGATGGAGCAGAATGTCACTTTACCCATGATGACTCTGAGATACACCAATTGTACATTTGTCCTTCTGGGGCTGTGGAAGCTTGATTTTCTTTTCAACATCATCAGCTCTTAGCATCTTAATTCTTGAGGATGTGATGCTAAGGTTGCAGAATTCAGCTGGCTACCAACAATGTGCTCTGTGTATATACCCAAGCACTATTTACACTATTCATATTCCATTTTGTAGAAACAGAACCGATGGAGGGAGTTCTGGATATTTAGGTCCTGCTCCACTCCTCTCAGGTTAGTACGTTCTGTTTTCACAATCTGTCCCTCTTGTCCCTGTAATCCTGCTTGCCATCCACGCACGCATCTCAGAGCTGTGTCTTCCTTGGAGCCCAGCCCACCGAGCTCCTTGTTGGTCTTCTTCAAATTCTCGGGTGTGGAAATCACAGTGAACTTAAACTCCCATCATCATCTCAGCAGTTGATCAGCAGCAGCAGCAGCAGTTGACACTCTTCGATCTAATACCTCCTCTCCACACCACTGGTGGTTGGTTGCAGATCTCACAGAGAGAAACCTTGTCACGGCTGCACAAGTGATTGTTGCTGCAGGGGATGCAGAGGGAGTCATGACAAGGAGGCTCTTACAGCACACCCATCATAGCCATGATGAGCTGGACAACACCTCTCCCACCAACCACCAACCCCAGTGGACAGAGAGCATGACTAGTAAATCAACTGTGGGCAGACACATACTGAAAGTGGGGTCTTGTTTGTTAGTTCAAGAACCTAGTCTTCATCCTAATGTACCATCTGACATAAAAAATATAATTAAAAATAATCTCTAACCTTTACCCCACTCCTTCCACACACACACAAAATGTCAGTTCATATGGTAGGTTGTTATCTGCTTCATCGCCAAACAGTTCCTGGTACATAATAGCCATTCTGGTTCGAAGAAGCTGAGAATATCTCATCTCATCTCATCTCATCTCATCTCATTCATCTTCACTTTCATCTCATCTCATCTCATTTCAACCTTCCAGCACTGGAAGGGGATGATGAAGGAAATAGACAGGAGCAGATTTGAGGAGGAATGTAAGGAGATGAAAAGACTCACTAGTCATAGCTTGGTGACTTTTCCTAATGAACATGCTGTGTGGCCTGAGGGACTTTATACCTCTGTTCCTCAGTTCCCTCCTTAGTTGAAGGGATGTTATCCAGGTCTCACTTCCTACTGCAGACTGGAACTGATCTCCTGACTTACAGAGAAGAGGTTGGACACATGAGATGTCAATCTTACTCTCCTCAGGGTTGGGATCAAGCAGTCACCCTGTGTGTGTGTTGAAGGGGGTGGGGGGTAGGGGTGGTTCAGGAACAAAGAGTGAGTTAGTGGTCAAGACTTGGCTGGAACTATGATCTCTGGAGAGAAATGAAGTGTCACCTTACAGAGCCATGCCCAGCTGTGTTCTCAGACATTCTCGCAGTGTAAGAAGGTTGGAGCTGGAAGAAGATGTAGATAGCCTCGATGGTGGTTTCTGTGTCTCCTGCACATGTGGAAACCCTTCATTACTGTCGGGCTCAGAGGAGGGAAGGAGCTCGCTCCTTGTCTGC